ATTTTATGCCAATTTTTCGCATGAGAACACTTGTGAAGGTTGGTGGGAGCAGCTTGTTCTGAGGACAGGAGGGCGGGCCTGACCACGGGGGCTGGCTGGGGATGGCCTCTGGAGGCCTTGACAGGCGGAGGCATTTGAGGCTCTGGTTCTGCTTCTTATTGCAGCAGGGCAGGGCGCACTGCAAAGAAAGGGAGCGGCTAACAGGAAATGCTGAGGCAGGGACCCTGCAGGGGGCCTTTGCAGTGTGACCCTTGCAGGGCCTGACCTGGTTGTGGAGGTGGTGGTGGAAACTTGACTCCTTAGGCCGAATGAGAGCAAAGAATGGGCGGAGCCAGCCTGGCCCGGGGATTCTGAGTCTTGGAAGAGTGGGTCCCATTGTCCTCAGATGAGGCATTGCCCCATGAAGTCGGGCTCCAGGCCATAACACACCCATTAACTGCCATAAGGGGACGGTATTGGAATCTTGAATTTTACAAATAAACCATTAAAAAGTTATAATTGGAAATGTTTGAATTCTGCCTGGATTCCATAATATTAAAGAACTGCTTACTTTTTAAGTGTGCTAATGGGATTATAGTTGAGTCCTTATGTTTTGGAGAGACACACTGGAGTCTGTGCAGATGACATACACTTGGGTTTATTTCCGAGTTATTTTGTGACAGGGGAGAGATGGGGCAGCAAAGATGAAGCCGGATTGGCTGTGAATTGTTAGCTGTTGAAGTTGGGGGAGAGGCGGGTGGGGTTCATTTCGCTCTTCTCTCTACCATTGTATGCATGTGAAATTTCCCTTGAAAAAATTCTGGTCCTCAGGTAGTGCAAGGCTTACCCTGGGCCTCACAATTCTCAATTCCAATCAGAAATCACAAGAGGCATTTTGAGCTGTGCCACGTTGATCTCTTGTTACATTTCAAAACAGAAATTTGGTCCACTTCTGTTTTGCCTAAAGCAGAAAAATTCACTCACTGGAAAGAAATGATGCTTTGCTTTTTTGTGGGAAAACAAACTGGGAGGTTCACATGATCTCCTTTATCATGGTCATGGAAAGGGTCCAGCCAGCTGAAGAGGCAAAGGCAAAACTCAAGAGAAAAGTCACATTTTTAGGTGGCTGGAAATAAATACTTCTTCCGGGAGAGCCAGTCCGAGGGGTGGTCTCTGACAGCGGAGCACACGGCACAAGTGTGAACGCTGAGACTGAGCTGAAAAACTGCAGCCTGAACCACAGCTGCCAGCCAAAGAGGCTAGTGCTACTGTGGTGGCAACCACACATCGCCCTGGCAGGGTCTAGGGGCAGAAGAGTAACCCCGATACTGGTTATTCTGGTGCCCAGCCACGCGGCACCTCCCTCACAAACCACAGACAGGGAGGCTGCTCTGACAATGTCCCCAGCTGTGCACAAAGGGAACACCAGCCATCATGAGCTGATGCAGGGTCCTATGAACTGCCACAAAGCCCCACAGTTGGGAGGCCACCTCCCAGGCTACAGGACAGTGACCAGATTTCTTTTTCAATGAGTGGTCCCAGACAGAACATATCCTTATGCTTGTAAACTAGCAAGCCAGGAGGGTCAATTTTGAACTTAAGTAAGTAACGCCATTTTCCTTTTTATTTTTTTTTTCACTTTTTTAAACCATTTTTTATTCTTGTTCGAATACAGTTGTCTCCATTTTCCTGCCAACACTTTCCCCTGCCCCACCCACCCCCACCTTCCATCCTACCCCCCTTTGGCTTTCCCATGGGTCGATCCTTTATACATGTTCCTTGATGACCCTTCTTCCCCTTCTTTCCCCCATTATCTCCCTCCCCCTACCTTTTGGTTACTGTCAGTGTGTTCTTTATCTCCACATCTCTGGCTCTATTTTGCTCGCTTGTTTGTTTTGTGGTCCTTTTCTTTAATGAGGAGGAGTTGCAGCGGGGAGTGGGAGGCTAGGGGATTAATATAGGTGTATGCTTCCCTGGGGACAAACCAGCACGAAGTCAGCATGAGAACCCAGTTCAGTGAGCGTGTGAGGGCCTGCTCTGTGCCAGGCACTGTGGACGGAGCATGGATGGATGAGACACGATTCCTGCCTTTACAGAGAACACAGGAAAGGGAGGAGACAGGTGCGCCAAACTCCTGGGTAAATATTGAAACAGAAGGGCAGGGAAGTCCCGTGACTCAGGCAAGGTACCTCTGTTACTAAAGTCTGACTTTGGGCAAATTGGTTCATCTCAATTTTTTGTCTATACAATGGGGCAATTCTTGTTTTGCTGAGTTGTAAGGACAGAGGCTAGTAAAATAACTGCAACAATAATAATGAATGAAGACGCATCCTCAGGCAGCTGCAGGAGGAATAGAAAAGGCTTTCGGACCCTCTCACCTAAGGGCCTGTGACGGGTGCTCAAGGAGGGGTGCCCCTGAGGACATCAGCCGAGGCCCACGGCGGGTTCCCGTTGCAGGCGCCGCCCCTGCCAGCCAGCCCCAGGTGCGGCCGTGCCCTGTGCCCTCGTGCCTGGAGTTGGTCCCCACTGGGCACCTTGTCACACCGGAGCAGCCTGGGCATGAGCCCCACTCCCCGACCCGTTCAGACTTGCCTGAATCGGAGGGCGAAGGCACTTAGTTCCAGTCATCTTCGCAAATCTCAGAGCCTGAGAGCCAGAGGGACATTCTGGAACGTACTGTCCAGGCCTCCCATCTGCTCGGAGGACAAGGAGATTTGGGCACGGAGTGTGACCAGCTCACGGGCACTGAGGTGGCACCGCCAGGCCGTTCCGTTCTCTAGGCTCTCCTGGTCCCCCAGAGCCGCTTCTCTTTCCCGGGAGCGTTTGCCTCCACGGACTCTGTTGCCTGTTTTAACCTTGGTCCTTCCTGTCTCCAAATACCTGATTTAGCCTAACATCCAAGAAGGAGTATTTAGAACAAATAAAAAAGGTGGGGTCTTTTTTGTATTTAGCAAATGCTTTTATTTTTTAGATCTTTTATTTTTCCCCCATTACCATTTAGTCTTCTTAGTCACCTTTTCTCAAGCTCTCTGTTCTCTGGGGTCTTTTGTTCTCTGGGAAAATGCTTCCTTAATGCTTGCTATGTGTGACCCTAATCACAACAAGGGCTCCCAGAGATGAAAATGAGAGGTCCCAGTCCCCAAGCAGCTCTTGGTTTAGCTATCCCTGACACGCTTTCTCCGTGACCTAGTTCCCTGTAGTCACGCGTGCGTGCCTCTTCACTTCCTGAGGCTTCCCATTCACCCCTGCCCGGCAGCTTCCGCCACCCGAGTGTGGGCCCAGTGAGCAGAGAAGTGGCCGGCAGCCTCACCCTGGAGAGCTCACCACCCACCTTGTGTGCCTCTTCCTGACCCTTGGGGTTCACATGGAACCACAGGAGTGCGTCAGCTTGCTCTCTCCTGTCCCCGAGGGGTTTGGTTTTGCCCTCAGCTGAAGGACTGCCTTCCTCCAGTTTGCCCCTGGAGTGATGGCTTTGGTGTCCCCCAGCCTTCTCCCCTATCACCTCTGGGTGTAGCTGAGCTGCCTTGAGTCTGGGCTTTGAGGTCTTGGATAGAAAAACAACAGAGTTTGGTGGAGAGTGATGCATGCAAGTGAGGACACAGGGGTCCAGTGGGAGGCTGGACTGGAGATTCTGAAGTCCCTCCCGGCGCTAACACTTCTGGAAAGGTCTCTCCAAAGGCGGACAGCCTGAAAAACCAGTGGGGTTCTGCTGTGTGTGCCCAGACCCAGGACCAACTCCTCAGCACTTTAAATGACCCTGGGCACCAAATTTGACTTCGGGCTCTCCCTGCTCTCTGATGAGGTCCCCTGGTCAGAGACGAGGTGCAGGGGATCGGGATTCTGTGGCCGGTGTGCACACTTGTGAGACGGCACTCTCGTCTATGGAAGGGTTACCAGACCCTGGTGTTCCTTCCACCTCTGCTGGAGTCGGCACCCTTCCCTGTGCCGAAATACCGGTGCACGGGCCCAGGTGGCAAGGCTTGGTGCCCAGCTCCGGGAGAGCCCACGGGCACCACGTTCTACTGAACGAGCCATGACTTGTCAATTATTTGCTCCTCTGGAGAAACCTCAGCCTGAAAATCTGTTTAATTACCATGGGAGATAATCTTTTAAACATAGCCTTACATTCTTTAAAGGCTTTTCCCTGTGAGAGTAGGAAAGTTTATCTGAAGTGGGATTGGATTGTTTATTTTCATTTCCAGCAGAAGGACTATTACCTGGTAGTTATCAAGAAGCCCTGAGCCCTGGCGGATTTATTTTTTAAGTCTGTTCCTCCTCACTGGTAGTTTGTCAGTTACATTGTAATAATTAGTCTGTAGTCTTGTCATTCTGTTTCTCAGTGTAAACCCTGCACTTGGCTCCGTGATTCCAGGCCTATAATTACTTGGTATTTGTCTGGTATCCCTGTCAGGTTGGGTTCCGTACGTACCGTACGTAGATGAGCGTAGTGTTGATTCTCAAGGGTATGTACTCGCTAGGAGAGGGTCATGCCTGTAACTCCATCAGCCTCAGAGACCCTTCTGGAGCTGTAGTCACTCAGACACCTATTTTTCCAACTTGGGGCACCCCAGCAGATTCATTAAATCCTTCCCCACTAGAACACAAGACTTGGCCAGCAGGGGCTCCCGTGCTGGGTTCCCCCCTGGCGGCTCTGGGCCCAGGGCCCAGGGCCCAGAGCAGTCCTGCTTGTAGCAGGTGAAGTGGCTGAAAGTCAGCAGGTTGTCACGTGGGGAGGGTGTGTATTGTGTCCCAATATAGACAAGACACAAAGCCAAGCAGAGCTGGGTGGGCCCTGGCCCCTGGCCTGGGGCTGCCCCAGGCCTTTCCCCACATCACTTTAAGGGCAAATGGTCTTGGGGCATTTTCCGAACCTGGTTCTATAGGCGGAGATCTCTGGGCCTTGAGGAAATTACCTCTGGATTAAGGAAAGGAGGAATTATATTGAATACAGAGTTCGAAAGTGAGGAAAGAGGAGTTTGTGGAACACTGATTAAATCTTGGGCTTAAATCTCTTTTTCCAGGTCCTGACGGGGAGAAAAGCTGGCCCAAGAACTACCCATTATGCGGGGGCCAGATGCAGTCCCCAATAGACCTGCACAGTGACATCCTCCAGTATGACAACAACCTTGTGCCCCTTAAGTTCCAAGGCTACAATGTGTCTGCCAATGAGCAGTTTACACTGACCAACAATGGCCATTCAGGTGAGGGAGAGACCCCAGAGAGATGTCGGGGATGTCTGAGCTTCTCTCCACTCCGTCTGCCCTCTTCCATCTGTTGGGGAGGGGGCTCCATGGAGACATCCGGGAGAGGGCCAGGGGGAGCCCTTGAGGGCATCTGGGACCACTCTCTCCAGGGAATGCTGGAGGCCCTGGGCTCCGGCCACTGTGCCAGAGCAGCACCTCTCAGGAGCAGCACGTGTCCTGAGATGGGAGGGGACAGGCCTGAGCCCCTTGGCCACTGGCTGCAGTGTGGGAATGAACTCTTGGGCATCATGAACTCAAGAAGCCACAGTTCACTGCGGGCACGCACCCAGCCTCTGGAGTCAGACAAACCTGGCCTGGAATTCTGGCTCGAGTGCTTATGAGTCATGAGACTCTGGGTAAGACTTTTAACCTCCTTGAGCTTCCACCTGGAAAATGGGCATATTGGTGGGTACCATGAAGATGAGAGATGACGTGCGTTGGGATCTGTTGTAGAGCAGATGCCTCTCGAATAGCAATTGTTGTTGCAGTGATAGAATTCTACAGCTTGGCAGGTACTTTATTAAAGGTTCTATTTCCGTAGCCAGGTGTGTAGTGCATGGATATGTAAACGAACAGCCACCCATTGGTCTAGTATCTGTGTTCCTGCCATCATTTTGCAAGAGGAACCAAGAAGGTGCAGGTGCCACTGGAATTGCTTTAGTGAAATAGGGACATTCTGAGGACAAGAGGCCAGGTTTCTGACCCACAGGCTGCCCCTCTCCAGTCTCCACCTTGCTGTATCCACCTGCCCCAGTCTGGGCCCGGGCATGTATTGTCTGCCTGACTCTGAGCTTGCCTCTCCACTTCCTGCAGTGAAGCTGAGCCTGCCCCCAGGCATGCATATCCAGGGCCTCCCATCCCGCTACAGCGCCACACAGCTGCACCTGCACTGGGGGGACCAGAACGACCCCCGCGGCTCTGAGCACACCGTTGGTGGGGAGCACTTTGCTGCCGAGGTGAGTGGGGTGCTGGGCTGGCAGAAGCTGCCTGGCGGTGGGTCACCTGGCATTCTTCCATTTAGCTGGTGTGCAGATAAGATCTGAGCGCATGGGGTGGGGGGGGCACAGCCTTCATGCTCTCCACACCAGCCCCATCAGCAGCATAGGAAGGTGTAGCTACTCCGGCCTCCCTGCAGCTCCTCTGTGGTGTCCTGGTCCCCTTTCTCTCCTAAACAGGCTGAGTTTGTCTCTACCTTTTACTGAGCGATGCTGCTCAGAAGGCAGTGCTCCCGGGGGTGGGGAGGGCACCGTGGGACACATATGCCCTTTTTCTAGAGATCGCCCTTCTGTTGGCACAGATTAAGATCCCATCAGCTTGTCTAGCTGATGCATCCTGCTGCTGAATCATACCGGGGTAACTGTCCCCCCAAACTTCTGTGTCTTCACACTCCATGCTGTTCGCACAGGTCTTTCCCATCGCATCTTTCCTTTCCCTGGACCTAGGTTGTGCTTTGAATATGGGGATCCAGGTCCAGGGATACTCTTCTATTGTACTTGGCCACATTCAGAGCCCCCACGGCCTTGAATTTGGAGGTGCGTTCTGAATGTTTACAGTGTGATACAAGGAGATAAATACTACTGATCAGCAAGTGGAGCCCACAGTAAACACTGACATGACCACTTTCCTCTGTTCTTAATTGCTGAACTGCTTAATGTCTCAGGCTAATTACAAGTTGAGTTACCAGTGTGGAAAGACTATAATTCTGGAGAGGCAGGACGGCACTGCTGGAGCTGCACGTATTTCAGACCAGGCCCCTCTCCAAACTTCCAGGGCTGTAGCCCTTCCAGGCTAACTGCCATGTGGGGGCGCCTACTTTCTCGTGGGGAATAAAGGAGGAGTTACGGTGTAGGCTGGGAGGGTTTGGACATTTCAAGATATTTCTAGTTATTGTATTTTCTGCTATTAAGCCTCATCATTAGACCAAGAGTCTGGTGAAGATGGGCCATAACATCAATAACAGAGAAAATACACCAGGTTAACCCTACATTGGTGGGTTCTCTATCCCGGGTCCTCGAGGATGTGGAGGTTCTTCATGGTTGCGTCTGCATAAGCAACCTCGTAGTCCTGTTGGCAGGGAATTCCCTTCTGTTCTGTTAGCCTTCACCCCGCGCCCCCCTTGATTTAATCTGAGCGCAGTGAGGAAAGTGCTAAAACAGATCACAAGCTCAAAGTCAGGCGTACAAAAGAAATAAGGCCCTAGGGCCTCTGGGTTCCAGCCACATAGACTTCTGCTCTGTCTGTCAAAGCAACGCCAGGCGAGGATGGTGTGGGGCAACGCAGGAGGCCACACCCTTCGGGTGGAAAAGGGGAAACAGGAGCCCTAAGAAATCCTTAACAGAGGACCACTTAAAAGAAGGAATAATTTGATATAACTTTTAAAAATTAGAAAGGGCCACTTGAAAAGTGGGGGACGTTGCGCTGTGTTCAATCAAATATTCTTGAATTCTGAATATAACCATATAAGACAGAAAAAAACATGGATAAAGACAAATGAAAGAGAGAGAAAGTCTCAGTGTGCCATAGCCCCGGGAGGCGAAGGACCAACAGAAGGACGTGCGTCACAGCTGTGGATCTACTTACTAACGCAGCATTTTGAGAACAAGGGATGCCGCCGCCTTTAGGATGAAAAATCAGGTTAAATGTTGTCAGACTTTGCCATTGCAATGTCTTGATGCCTACCTAGACCTTTTGTTCACTTGAGACCAAATACTAGGCCATATATTTTAATACACGTGAGGAAGAAGGATAAATAATTTAAGCCTGGTGAAGAGAATCCCTGGGTGTTCCATACGCTTCTCTCTCCACATGTCTAATTATAAGGTGCCTCTCCTGGCTGTTGTTGTGGCAGCAGCACTCTGTCCGTCTCCCTGTCATTAGCCCCCAACAGAACTGTCCCCAGTGAAACATCGGCAGATTTGGCTCCCTGGACAGTATTCCCTATTGTCATCTTTCGTGTCTCACACCCAGGAAATGTTAATTAGTCGCACCATTGTTGCTTTCAAGAGGATGGGCCAAAACCCGTGTGGAAGTTTTCTTCTTGGAAGCCGTGGTCCCAGTCCCTGAGCTTTCTTCAGCTGTGTTAAGTGTTACCTCATCACTGGGCCCAGTTGTAGAGAAATTAGGGAAAACATCTCAAGTATTAAAATGGACAGTAAAATCTTCTGTAGGGAATAGAGGAGGTAGTGGCCTTTGAGGGTATTCATCAACTTTTATGGAAGTGAAGCAATTTAGCCTGCTCATACAAAGAAGCCTGTCCCTTTCGGAACATAAGCATCGTCTTCTCCAGTGCCCTGCATTGGTCTCCGGGCACGGTGGGACTCCCCACCAGTCTGCGGCTCCGCCCTTCCACTCCGGGCCGTTCATCCAGGAGAAATGAAAGCATTTGTCCACACCAAGGCTTGCACATGAACGATCAGGAGCAGATTTACATGTAGCAGCCAGTGTAGATCTGGAGGCTGGAAGTCCAAGATCCAGGCCTCGCAGGGTGGGCTTACGGCGGGCGCTCTCTCCCTTGGCTTGTGGACGGCGGGCTTCTCGCTGGCTCATCACTTGGTGGAGAAAGAGAGTGGTGACCTCACCCAGACTTTATAAACCTAAGATTTCCCCAAAACTTCTCTCCTCCTCACTTTGATAATGACAATTTCTGCTTTGAAAAAATGAATTTAGAATTTTTTGTGAAGGTTAGTGTCTATATTCATGGAGCAAGATTTTTGTTTTATTGCCAGTTAAAATACGCCTGATAAAACCTTGATAAGACCATGTGGTGATTTTCTCTGCCAGAGGGATAAACACGTGTCCTCTCTGGACACAATGATGAGTAAGTTACAGTTAGAGGTTTACCGCCCCAGACCCCTGTGCTTCCAGGTCAAGTGCAGAGTGGCCAGACAACATGAGACTATTTCGGCCTGGGCTCTAAAACAAGCAAATAGAATCAGAAGGGAGAAGTGCTCCAAAGTACCCAGGGTTTTTCATGGCTAATATAAAAACTCATTCACTCACTCATTCATTCATTCATTCATTCACTCATTACCTATTGTGCACATGGTACTTTCTGAGCACCATATCAGACTCTGGGATACAGTGGCTAGTAAGAGGCAGTCTGCCCTGGCAGAGTCTGCAGGGAGGAATGAGGGAAAAGGGAAACTGGGGAGGCCATGAGGGGAGGGCCTGAGAGGCATAATCCACCTCGGGGGAGGTCTGTCCTCCCCATTAGATTCCAGCCTCCTGCAAAAGTGAAAGGTTCCCGTGAGTCGTGCACCTCCTTATAAGCAGTTTCTTGTCCACTGCAGCTGCATATTGTCCACTACAACTCGGACCGGTACCCCAATGCCAGCACTGCAAGTAAAGAGCCACAAGGCCTTGCCGTCCTAGCTATCCTCATAGAGGTAAGAGATGTTAAGAGGGGTTTTACGTGAAATTCAAAGCTGGGTGCTATCAGACTTGGCGTATGGTTCCGCACACACCTGTCTGTGGGATGTACATGGCTCAATAGCATCTAGGCTGTGTCTTGCCTTCAGAGCAGGGGGCGTTCCCCCACAGAGTTGCTTCTCTCTTGGCCTGGAGGCGGCACTGTCTGTGGCTGGGCAGCAGAAATGGGCATCTCTTGTAACATTGGGAAGATGAGCCCTAGTCCACAGCCCAACTGCATAAGGCATGGAATTGCCCAGTTGGATAGCACATGTGAGTGGGTGGGGGGGGGCGAGAGAGGGTGGGAATCATTCAATTCTGTACCATCTGATGCCTGAAACCCTGACACAACTGGCATCCAAGTTCCATCCTTGGTATGAACTCTGGGATGAGTTCTTTCCTAATCCCAGAAAATGGGACTATCTCCTGATTCACTTGCATTATTTTTCCCTAATGAGACCGTATGTACCTTGTTTCTTACCTGCCTTGTATGAACTCACACTCCCTTAAAGTTTGGAAGGACATGCCTTCCGGCTCACAGCCAGATAATCAGGAGCACAAGCTGTATCTCTTGCCCCGGACACTGCAGCCCCAGTGCCTTGAGCTGGAAACATTATGTCCTGAGCTACAGGGGGGCAGGACCACTGCGCCACCCCGTGCCAGCCTAGTGACCCATCACGGCCTGGCAGTGGCGACCACGTACCCCCAGCCAGGCCCTTCGATGAGCAGTTGTCAGTTCGGGCTCGGCCTACAGAATCTGCCCCCGTTCAGCTTGCCCTGTCTCCACTGCAGATGGGCTCCTTCAACCCCTCCTACGACAAGATCTTCAGTCACCTTCCAGATGTGAAGTACAAAGGTGAGCGGCCTGGGACGCTAATCGCCCTCGTTGGAGAAGGATATAGTGGCTCCCGAGTGACCTGAAGGGAAACGAAAGCTGAGGGCAGGTGCTGCCCGTGACCAGGCCCTTGGGTCAGAGGGCCCAGGAAGGGGCTAGTTCACGTTTCTAGGCTCAGGCACATGCTCAGCTGCTCCTCTGCCATGGTGAGCCAGGATGACGCCATCCCCCAACATGTCTCTCCAGGCCAAGAAGCGCACATTCCGGGTTTCAGCATCGAAGAGCTGCTTCCTGAGAGGCCTGAAGAGTATTATCGCTACCAAGGGTCCCTGACCACACCTCCTTGCCACCCCACTGTGCTCTGGACGGTTTTCAGGAACCCCGTGCAAATCTCCCAGGAGCAGGTGAGTGTTGTGCCCCTCCGGTAAGAGGCCACGTGGTGTCACCCAAATCATGATTGATGACTCACTGTCCTCACTTAGAGGTTCACTGGCGGCTATTCAAATGTTCTCCAAACGTCACGAATGCGTGGGAAGCGCTGCAGCCATTACATGGGGCTAGCAAGTCAAGCAGGAAAATGCGTCTGTCTCTTTAAAAAAGAGTTGTTAAGTTGCATTTCCTAGTCTGTCCCTCCATGCATGGTGTTCACCTCTCAGGTGGGAGAGAGCACGCTTCCTTTGCAGGGTGGAATGAAGGAAGGATCAGGTTAAATCGTTTAACACACACAGGAGCTGGGACACAGCTATGAGTGAGGTTCTCTGCCCTCAAGAAGCTCACAGTCTAGTGTAAAACTGGCAACAGAAGCCTCAGCAAACATCTCTAACACGCTCATTTTACAGGTGACGGAAGTGAGGGTTAGAGAGTTGACGATACTGCGGGATCACCGCTGGTTAGTGACAGAGCTAGACCAGGCCACTGCCCGTCCCTCTACCCCACAGTCTCAATTCACCGAGAGGAAAAAAGGCCGTCGGGGGCCAGGGCCGGGGCAGTGCTGCACACTGGCTCCTGGCCCACCCCACCTGTCACCCCCTCACTGTGGCTCCTTTCTCACTATGAGCTACTGATCTGAGTAACCGAGAGAACAGGCGCTTCTACTCCCAGAACAGCCTTGGAGACTGATCGTATAATCCATGTGGGGATATGAAAACTCCGTGGAACTGGCAGTCAGATGACCTGTGAAATCCCGCCTCCCTCTTTTTGTTCCTTTTGATGGGACCTGCTAGGCCCCTCTGATTTAGAGTTGGGTTCCAAATCAGGCTCAGGACAGTGGTGCAGTCTCAGGGAGAGACTGATCCCCCTACCTGCACCCAGATTTCAGGCACAACCTGAGGCTAACAGCACTGACCTTTCCCCAAGCCTGGGAGGTGGGAAGGCAGAGCAGCTCACCCCATGGCCAGTCACCCGGATGCCCACAGGGAAGGGGAGCAGTTCTCTGGCTTTCCCGCTGCTGTGTGGCCCACAAGGCTCTGGAGGTGAGAGCTGGCAGTCTCTTCCTCCCAGAAGCCAGGCAAGGAGGCCGTCCCTCTGCCTGCAGCGTGTGCTTCTGCTCTTCTCCCCGCAGCTGCTGGCTTTGGAGACAGCTCTGTACTGCACACACGAGAACGACCCATCCCCCGTAGAAATGGTCAAAAACTTCCGGCACGTCCAGAAATTCGATGAGAGGTTGGTGTACGTCTCCTTCCAAAAAGGTGAGGCGACGCAGGGTGTGTGGGGCAGGTGTGGTGGGGGGGGGAGTGGGTGCCAAGGTGCTCATCGAGTATGGAGGGGGGATGCCCTGCTCTCGGATTTTGTCCCAGATGCCTTTAGGTGGATTAAGAACAACTCTGGCCCCCAAAACAACCAAGGTACATGAGCAGCTATTGTGTGTGGGTTTACTGAGGTCGCCCTTCACCCACTCTCGACTTCCCTGAGCCTTGGTAGGAAGCACAAGCCAGGCCCTCCAGGCACGTGGACCAGAGCCCTCATTAAACCTGGGAGTCTCCCCTGCTGTGGGGAGAGAGAATGCTCTGGGGGACCTCTCCACTCTGGAGACCCACCCCTTCTCCTAAGACGTACGATAGCACCCTTTTCATGAGATCACATTTCCAACTTCTTATTCTGGGCTTTCTTAGCCTCATGGACCATCTCCAGCCTTGCCAGGTGATTCACGGCACTGCCAGCCCCATCAGTGCCCAGGGACACTCCTTTGCAAGGAGTCACATCCATGGTCACAAGCAGCTCGTGCTCTAATGTAGAAGGGCCATCCAGCAGGACAGCATGGGCGCTCACTGTCTTTCTGTCTCATCTCCTTGAAGCTTGCTAGAGCGCAGGCACCCAGGGGCTGTACTTGAAATGACACTGAGCAGTTTTCCTTATTGCTGATATTAGGAAAGCTCAGTTCTTCCTTCTAAATCGGCAACCCTAACTCCCCAGAAGGACATTTAACACCTTTACTTGCTCAGGATCTACATCGATACTGCTGGAATCTAGGGGTCCAGGAAAGGGGGTAAAGGAACACTCTCGGGGCCCACACCCTTCTTCATGCCTCCACATCTACTTTCTCATGGAGATGCTTGAGCGGCTCCCAGCATGGGAGTCTCGAGTGGTCAGACGCAGGTATGCCTGTGGAAGCATCACTTCTTACACGTCATTTGTGACTGAACTGGATCAGATCCGCACATCTAAGGATGGCCCCCATCCCTCACATGCCAGAAAATCAGCTCTCCTTGTCTCGCCTGGTGCACCATTTTATTCCTTCCTTATTGTGTGAGATTATAAATGTCACCTACTGAGCTTAGGGAAACATACGAAGATTGTGTTTCAGAGCCCTTGTCAGAAAGCTTTAGAAACATGCCCTTCTGAATCAACCCCAACATCTGGTCAGAATTCTGTCCTTTGTCAGTTCCTTAATCAGGAACTGCCCAAGAATTTCTCTCTCATGTTCTCCTCTCCAGATACTACTAGTTAAGGTAATTTCCCTCACTTTTCTGGTCTGACAACTGAGCCTGTGAGCAAAGGACCTTCCTAAAGGTTGAGGGTGCATTATTGGATACGTGATGATGACTGTGAAATCTTCTTTCCCAGGAAATGCTTCCAATGTACAGAATTACCCCTTTGTGACCTATTCTGGACATAACTTTCTCTTTTCCTGTTCCTCTAAATGGAGTATGTAGTAGTCAGAGGTTAAGTGGGAATACTTCAACTTGTAAATAAAATAAAAATCTCTGCCTAGAGATAAGGGACTTGGCCTACATAGGTAGAATTTTGCTTGTGATTCAAAGATAATGATCAGCTCTGTTTTCTGGGCTAGTGTATACAAGTCACAAACCACAAGGGACAGAGTGACAAAGACTCCCCTTAGTCAGAAGTAGGTTCAAGGCCTCGCTTTGCTTCCGCATGGCTGTATGACATGGGCCAGTGAGGTCCCTTCTTGGGCCTTGCTTTCCTCGGCCACAGGACAGCAGGTCGGGCTGGGTGGGCTAACGACCTCCCAGTGCTAATACCTTATGGTTCCAGGCGGACACTAACAACTGCCCTTCCTGACTTTACATTGCAGGGACAGTGTTTGAGGGCAGATACAGAGGATCAGAAGAAACCACGCAGGAACTTGAGTCTGACTTCCCAAAGTAACCCTCCACTTGTAACTGTCAGAGGTGGCACTGGGAGTAATTAGCCATCTTCTTAGACCGGCAGAGGTCTAAGCTGGCGCTTGCAGACCGGGCAGTGCAGTCAGACATGTAGTAGGGCGCTTCGGTAGAACATCCCAGCCTGGCCAGGGGAGCTGGAGGGGCCTCCAGGCGGAGGCCCATGTCTAGGCTTGGCCTGTCCAGATCAAAGCCCAAATGCAGCTTTGCCACTGCCTCTCCTGCACGGCTCGCCCGGAGCTGCTACCCTCGGGAGAGGAGCGAGAATCCATGACGGTCCAAGGCAAATCTGTTCATTTGGAGGCTGATTATAGAAACTTGGCCAGAATTCTCCCCTCCCTCTCACTCCCAAAAGTTGCAGGGAGCAAACAGGGCTGTCACCAAGGAGCAGTGAGGAGGCAGCCCCAGAGGAGGGGAGCCCCAGACCTCATGCCCCGGGGCACCTGCAATCACAAGGGCCTCTACACCAAACTGACGTGGGCCTCGGACATGCTGTGGGAAAGGTGTATGGGTGAGCCTGTTTGCCAGTGTGGACCTTGAGCAACTCAGACTCGACTATTTGTACGCTCTGCCACTGAGGCATGTCTGTCACGAGGTGTGGTTTGCTCAGGGTTTTCCCTGGAAGTTGTCAGGAACTTCAGAGTTGGAAGATTTCACCAGGAGGAAAGTAAAGTAAGGAAACCCTCTGGGAGAGAAAGTTCATGGACTTGGAGAGGAGGACCTGAGGTTTAACCAGACTGGAACATCGGGGACTGAACAGTTTAACTTGACCCTGCTTTGCCCTCAGCTGTGCTTACAGCAGAGTACAGGACCCGGTTTCTGGGCTCAAGAGGGGCACAGACTGACTGTGGCTTCACCCCAGGGCAGGGTTCTTCTGCCCATGCACTACTGGCATGGAGGGCTGGGTAATTCTGGTTGTGGGGGACTCTCCTGGGCACTGGAGCATTAGCAGCACCCTTGGCTCCTGCCCACCAGATGCCCATAGCATCCCCCCCTTATTGTAGCCAAAAATGTCTCCAGACACGGCCCAGTGTCTCCGGGGAAGGAACGCCAAAACTGCCCCTGATGGAGAACGACTGCCCCAGGGACTGTGCACGGTTTTCCTAGGCCCGGGCTGCTGTTTCCCACTTAGATCACTGGATTCTAGAGTTCTCCATCACATGCCCCGGTCTTTACTCTATCACAGTGTGACATTCTCAATCTGGTGATGGCTACCCCGGAACAGTAAGGTTGGGGTTACCAGGACAGAACAATCAAACCCAAGAGAAACTCTGATCTCCATATTTTTTTAGAAGTTGAGTATTTTTTTATATACTTCAGTATGTCCAAGGCTAGGAGTAGCGGGTGACAGAGAATTATCCACCCTTAAGATCACACATCTCTTTATCAGAGGTCCACACATCTCCCAGGTAGCACCTTTCTTCAGAACCCCTTCATTGTTCTTCTCCTTCCCTTTTGTATAGGTTTTTCCTCTCGTAAATGTTGCTTTTTGTTGTCTTTGGTGAAAATACCCACTCTTTATGGAGAGGTAGAAGTCATACCAGGCACTTTTTTCAGCTCTTAAAAGGTGCCCCTTCTAAGTGGCAGAGACAGAAACTTGAGCTGAACGGTGGAAATAAGACTCCTTATTTCCTTAAGGTGGGAACCCAGAGGGAGGGAACACATCCTGGAACCACTGTGGGTCTCACGGGAAGTCAGCGCCCACCGTGAGGAAGGTGAAGGACTACGGAGGCAGATGGACAGTCCAGGGGCCCGATTCTTGGTTCCTTTAAAATGACTTCTTAGCCACGGACACCAGCCTAGGTCCAGATGGTGATGGGCAATCCCACGAGGGCCCATCAGACCTAAACATGAATGTTGTCTAGCCCTATTTTCAACATGTCAGGGACCAGAGGAAGCCAAAAAGTTTCTATAATCATGTCTTTAGTGGGCCTGCTCTGAGCAGCTGCATGCCCCCCGCCAGAGAGCTGGAGCCAGCTGTGGCACACTTAGCCAAGGGTCGGGCGGGGTGCGGGGTAGGGCTGTCACCCACCGCCAATCTGTGGAGTAGCATGATTAGAATCCGCTTGACCCTAGGGAACTGGGCAGTTTCACAAAACCTTTAAAAAAGAGACAGAGAGAGAAAAAAATCCTACAAAGCTAAGATGGCTAATTATCTAATATTTTTTTTACCAGAATGTATGCTTTGTGGTTATTGACCTTGTGTTTCTAAAAGTTCCTATTTGTAAATAAAGTCTATGAGATGGGAAAGTATCAATTCTTCCAAAGGACCCAAACGAACCCCCACCCTGGATGTGCCTACCTTCCAACCCCCCCTGGATGCAGGGGGCTGAGTAGTCAGGAGGAATCGTCAAACGTGCTAAGCAGGCAAACCCCAGTCCCTTCATCTAGAGCAGTGTAGCACACTGCGTGTTTTCTGAGCACACCCCAAGTCAGGCACTGTGGGGCGCAGGGAGCCCCACCGTGTGTGTTGTCTTGCTCCTAACAACAAACCTCCGGCAGAGAGCAGACCACGTGCAGAAAAGACAGTGGGCAGAGGTGTGGGGCGGACAGCTGGACGGCGTGCACGTGTACACCCGTGCACACAGCACAGGGCCTCTCTCAGCATGGCAGCTTGGCTGCTGCCGCGCGTGTGTGCCCTTGACTTTGCCCACGCTATCCCCTTTGGGATGCCCCTGACCTCTTCCACCTGGGAAATTCTCTCAACACCCAGTTCCAATCATGTCCTCCCAGAAGTCTTCTCCGTTTCCCTGAAGGTGCCTTACAGCCTCCTCTTTCAGTGCAGCCGCAATAATGTGTTCGCCTCTGTGAGTCTTAGCGCACCACCGGGTGCTGATTTATTACCACACAGAAAAAGAAAAAGATGTCTGTGCCTTCCACTCACTACAAGCCCCTTAAGGAAGGGACAACTGTGTTGGCATCATGCCCAGTGCTCACGACAAGTCTGAAAGAATGTGACCCATCCGCCTCCCTGCCTCTCCCCTCACGGGTGTCTTCTCTGCAGAACGATTTGAACATAAGCCTGGCAGATTGTTAAATATTAGTTCTATCTTATCTTGTTTCATTATCAATTTGCCAATAACATTAAATCAATTCATTTAAGAAGAATTAAAGATCAGAACTTAGCTGCCAAGTTTTGAAAGCCTGACAGGGAGCTGCCTACAGGTGCTATCAGGCTTTCCGTGCTCCGGCCTGACGGGGATCAAGGCCCAGTCCCACCCCGGTCACTCCTTCAGCACTGGCAGCCCCGCCGCCCAGGTTGCTGGCTGTGTCACCTGCCCCTCGGGTGCCCCTTGGGGTGGTGTGGCTCTCTCTTCTGGGCTGCAGGCCTGCAACCTGGAGGGCAAAGCCCTTGGTCCCCATCATGGCTGCAGAAAACCGGTTCCCTCATGTAATCTGGTGGCAACCCTTGTTGGCAGATTTGTAAAAATTACTTCCTTCTTCAGTTATTTCCTTACAGTGCTAATAAGGAAAGGTCCCCAGTTAAGTATGTCCTCCAAATGCAGGAACGTTCTGTGGTGACTGGAGGCATCTTCCTTCACCCAAAGGGGGGAGCGAGCACGTGGGTTACTTGAGTCTATGACTTGTGTGCAGCATAGTAACAAGAGTTTTACCATTTGAAACTGGATTACCAAAACTCTGCCTGCCTCTTTCTAGTTTCACTATGTAACACGTCACCTACCAAAACAGTCCATACTTTAAAATAATACTTTGAAAAGTATTATTACAAAAGTAATACTTTGAAAAGGTTGTATTCCTCTTTATTCAAAATTCTGTTTGAACAAACAGAATTGCAAAGAGACCTAGAAAATGCTAGACTTGTTCCAGGAACCTCAAGCTGTGTCAATGAGGTGCTTGTTCCTCCGGCTGGACTTTTCTGTCTGCACTTGAGGCTTCAGAAGACCTCAAAAGCAGTTAAGCCGCATCCTTCAGTCCAGCAAGACGCCAGTGGAAGATGCAGCTCCTGAGCCAGCCAGACCAGGTAGCAATGCCCCTGTGGCAAGCAGCTTGCCGATCTCCTCCAGGGGTCTGCGCTTTCCTGGGCGAGGCATGTGACAGCCAAGCCCCTCCGTGTCTATGTGGTTTCCTTCTGTGTGTCGTACTGCCCTATCTCTGCTCGCCCCAACTTGTACCAGAGCTCCTTACGGTGAGCGGATGCTCCCCCACGTCTGTACGGCGGGCACCCTTCTACCAGCCAGCTCAGGAGTCCCTCTGCCACTTCCTCATCCAGTGGCTCTTGGGGGCCACCTCTGTCAACCAGCCTGTCTCTGTTTCTCCCATCTGTCCTGTTGATTTTTACTGGGAACTGCTCATCTTATTTGCTGTTCAGAAACAAACCATTTCTTTGTTTAATCTGCAGATGAATGTCTCTAGCTCTGTCTCTCCCGCGCCATCTCTGACGCCAGTTCCTGATAGCATCCCAGAGGCTCTGCTGTGACACAGGCCTTGGTTTGCCTCTCTGGGCCTTACTGCTCCAGTTGCCCCTACCAGCTCTCCCTCCGCCCCCTCAAGTCTCCTTGGCTGTTCTACTTTAGTTAGCAGATGCTTTGGTAGCCGCTTCCCACAGGACCCCAGCCCTGTGGGCTTCGTCCGGCTCTGCAAAGCAGCCCTGCTTCCTTGATGGTTGGCGCCACCTCAACTGGCAGGGGTTGGCATCCCAACATCTCCCTGCCCTGGGCTTCCTGCGGGGGAGAATTCCTCGTCTGTAGCGGGTTATTCTCTTTGCTTGCTCAGTCAGGTTGCTTTGTTTTTGCTGCAGCAAAGTCTTAGCTGAAAGCATCTGTCCCAGTCTCTAGGGCTTTCCTTGTCTTCACAGTTGCTCCATCTCCTTCACTGTCTCCAAGGAGAGGCGACTTAGGCCCTGGAGCAAGAAGCCCAGGCTAAAGCTCTACCCCTGGGTAAAATGAGGCTGTTATTTATAGGGCCTAATACAGCCAAAGGCATGGCTCAGTGAACCAGGAAACCAGAGTCTCCCTCCAGACAAGACCCCAAGCTGGGCTCTTGAGGAAAGTCCCACCCCTGGAGGCCCTGCTTCTGCAGACATTGCCCAGCTCCCTCAGACCAGGCACGGAGCCCCTCCTCCAGCCCCGGAGCTGGCTGCTCAGCGGTCTGGGGCCTTGTGGCTCGCAAGAAGTCTGAGCCAGCTGTGAAAGTAACGACTTCAGAAATTGTCCAGTTTGGTCGGCTTAGCCAAGTGGTCGGGCTTACTAGTGAGTCTTCTGTGGTGAGAACTAGTTTGGTACCACAAGCATCTGGAGTTTTAGGAAGAACAAATGTGTATTTCATCAAAATGCTTAGAAAGGAAGCCATGACTAGTTGGGGGTTTTCTGGGTTGTTGTTGTTTTTAAGATTCCAGAGGCCCTGGTCGCCTCTAGGTACCTTAAAAAGAAAAAAAAAAATTACCGTGTGCAGAGGCCACAGCCATGCAGGGAACAGAGCGTGTGCTGTGCAAACACTTGACATTCTTCCCAGGGAAACTCACGCCCTGAGTGTCTCCCCAGGCCACAGACTGATGCTCGTGTTCAGGTTACAAGAGAAGGCCTGGTGAGCGGTCAGGCCAGGGGAGCCACTCTCTGCCACCTGGGAGGCCGAGGGCTACTGGTGATGTCTGACAAGAGCCCAGAGAACAGGTCACCCTGTCCTTTGTGGACAGCTCCCCTCCATACCGGCTCTGTTCACCCTTACAACAGCCCAGGAGAAGCCAACCAGAGAGGCTGCAGACTCGATATGCGACTGTGGAAGACAACAGTAGGGAAAGGACACAGGGCTGATGGCCCCAAGGGAATCAGCCAGACTCTGGCCCCACGATGGAAGGGGTGAGCAACACCTCCCCCTGCAGTCTCGGGCCTGTTCCCTAGGTTGTCCAGTGGCCCAAGGGCAAGTTCCTGGCCCCCTGCTGGCATCTCATACTTGATCAGGGCTCACTCAGGGTGTCGGTTGCCACAGTGGGCTCTGAGGACACAGGCTTTGCTTAGTGTCAGGCTGGGTGGCCACCCCATTTATCCGCAACAATCACTTGTGAGAGAAGCCACAGTCCTGGTTCCACACGGCACAGAAGGGAGGCTGGCACAGAGCAGGAGTTTCTTCAGTTTATCCAGTGGTGCCAGAGCAAAAATAGAACCAAACCATGATAAGACTGGATGGGACAGTGCAGAAATCTGGTGACAGGTTCCAACTAAGCTCTGCCTGCCCCAGCCAGCCAGAACATGGCAGGTCCCTCACTGAGGAAGAGGGGTAGGAACCAGAGAGGAAGGTAACAGTCTGCCCAAGTAGACTCTGATTCTTATCCTTTCTCACCTTCCACTTTGGCCACTTTGTATCAAAAGCTGGAGTCTTGGCCAAGCCAAGAGACTGCTGTGATTAAGGAACATCAGAGGAGGGAATCACTGTGTGAATCCCCTAGGTGGACAGTTCCCTCTACCTCATCTGCATAAGCCCAGTACCTCCCAACAAAATGTACAGCTTCGATGTGTTCGTCAAACCTACCACAGTTTCACTTAATTTCCAATCTTTTCCTCTCCTTTTGAAGTGCAAGACCCTACCTACGCAGGACTGAGTCTGGGTATGTGGCCAGCTGGCCGTGCATGTGCAGCTGGTGATCGCTGTGATTCCCCGTGTGATCGACCCTGTGATACTTCCAGCCCACCCTCTGTGCTTCTCTGTGCTGTTGCTCTGGCTCCTGGCGCCTTCTCACTGTGAGCCTTGCTGTCAGATCACTCTCTGATTCACAGAGGAACTGCCAATCAAATGCTCCCCTAATGAAAGACCTAATCACTCTATATAGCATGTGTACAAAGAGCCTAAGATCTTCTGTTGGCCATGGTGGAAAGCCATTGCCTAAAGACATGCCTGAGCCCAATGTGGAGGTTGGGTGGCTGGCTACGTGACCCTGGGGATGGGCCCCTGGTTGTTTTGGACTGCTAGGACTGTGCAGTGGAACTTGGAGGGCAACCCTGATAAAGAGGCAACTTAATGGGCTTTAAGCCCAACAAGCAGTGATGGAGTAAGTTCTTAGTCTGTAACCCTGGTTTCTCCAAGTGTGGTGCATGGACCACACACATCAGCATCGGCCAGAGGTGTTTGGTTAAAATGCAGATTCCTGAGTGCCACCCCAGACTGACTTACTCTATGAGGGCGGGACTCAATAGAAGTCTACATTTTAAACAAGCTCTTCAGATGGTCCTGGTGCAAATTTGAGAAGCCCTGCTGGAGAATGACCACACTTTGCAAACGGTCCCCTCTAAGTACTCCAGCCAGTCCTGCTAAGGCAAAGACCAGAACCTGAGACCATATGTGGAGAAATTACACCTTCTGGCGGATTATCATGCAGCTGTCATTTGACTTTACACCCAGGTATCATCCTTTCGGTGGCCCTGGCTAGTGCTCTTGGCATCTGCATCATCCTGGCAGTATCCATTTGGCTTTTCCGAAGGAAGAGGAGGTAAGCTGGTTTTGCTTTGGAATGGGAGTGGGTGGCATATGCGCCCATGAGGAAAAATCTGTCTGGGAAGGCAGCCTGCACAATGAAGAGCCCCTGTCACCTGTACCAACACTTATCCTAGGAGACATGGTTCCTTTGCACGAGACGCTGGTCATTCAAGGGTCATTGTGCTTAGAGCCGAGGTGAGTCTGCCAGCCTTACTGCCACTGCTAAAGCCTTGGACAAGATTTTTGCTTTGGCGGGAGATCCCATTTGCCTAAATATAAGCAGCAAGGCTGTCTTCCTTCTAAGAGCTGTGCATTTATTGGGGTGACATTGGTTCATTAAATAGGTTTTGAGCGTACAATTCTCTAATGCATCATTGGCATATCACACTGTGTTCACCCCCCTGTAAAGTCTCGTCTGCTTCCATCACTACTTATCCTCTTTGCCCTCTTCTACCTCCCCTGACCTCCCTCCCCTCTGACAACCACCCTCCTGATGTCTGTGTCTGTGAGGTTTTTCTGAATCCCTTCACCGATTTCACCCAGCCCCCCAACCCGTGACACCCCCAACAGCTGTCAGTCTGTTCTCTGTATCTGTGAGTCTGTTTCTATTTTATTTTGTTTGTTAGATGTCACATGTAAATGAAACCATACAGTGCTTGTCCTTCTGTGAATCCAAAAGTGGAAGTGAAGGGAAACTTGATTTATCATTCACATTAGTTATTAATTCCCTTTGCTCATGTTTTTGTTGTCATGTTCATTTTTTTCTAAAACCTAATTTATTTTTCCTGGCGTGAAAAAAAAATTGTCAGGAACCGCACTATGGAGTGCAAGGTTTGACGCAGGGGCAGAAATGAGACCTTCTTCAAAATGCGGGCCTAGTATTATGCAGTGTTAAAGAAGAGCAGTTGGAGAATGAACAGGTTCCATTTTGGTTCATCTTTATCTGCAGCCATTCCCTCTGAAAACCAACAGAACTGGGGAAAGGCCCTCACGAGAGGAATCTGACCCTGAGAACTTGCCTCATTCCACAGCCAAGCCAAGCTGCACTCTCCCTCTCTCCTCTTTGACTAATAAGACTCTTGTGTTCTTCTTGTTCTAGTAGCAAAACAGGTGACAGCAGTAAGGGAGTCATTTACAAACCAGCCATCAAGAAGGAGACTGAGGTCCAAGCCTGAGGCCCCAGCGCTCCAGGCCCATCTAAGGGAAGGACTTTGCTTTGGATGGTACACACTGTGTCCCCCTGGACACTTGAAATACCTGAGGGTTCTATGGAGCTCACCCCGAAGACAGGCCAGACCCCTGAGGGGCCCCTAGCTGGGCACCCCGCTATCCGGATGCTACGGCCCCTCTCAGTGTGATCGTGGATGGGAAGAGCTCACCAAAGACGCAGGACTCTGAGCTTCTGCTCCATCTGCATGAGACCAGTGAGAGGTCTGGGTTCTGGGGACACAAACCATGTTGCCTGGCGGGGCTGTTGTTAACTGAAAACTACTTTTATTCAGGGGCTGACTCAAGTGGTGTTTCAAATGTCCTGGAAATTCCATTCCTTGTCTCAGCCTTCAAACCAGAATGTACGCCCTCTGCTTAGGCTCTGCTTCTGATACTCAACTGTGTTTTCTCAGGGAAGGTGTTGCTGTCTCGCTCTCATTTCCTTCTGCTGTGACAAAACCTTTAGTCTGACCTGGCAACCTGGGGCGTTGTGGGGGGTGGGGGTGGGAAGCATTAATATAGGAGGGGTCAGGGTGTCTGAGACAAAAACAAAACAAGAGGTATTCTTTCAAAGACAGTAGAGGCGTTTTCACAGTCGTGTCCTTTAGATCAGACAGACCTGAGAGAGAGAATGGGAAGACACGTAAGACCTGAAAACTCTCAGGAGCTGTGAGTGTGAGAAGCACAAGTATTAGGCCCAAGCCCAACCTCTTACCGGTAGGGTGGTTACATTTCATACCCTACAGATTTTTATAAATAATTAGGCTACTCCTTGAAAATGTGCTGTTGCTTACTCTCTCCTAGAGCAGATACGAGTACTGAGAATCTAGAGAAAATAGGCAGATTCAAAATGACTAAAGAGCTTTGTCTCTTGTGCCCAAATTTCATTTCTGCCACCTTTGTGGGGTCCCTACTGTCAACCCAGAAATGGGACTTACCTACTTCTCTGACCTTGAGGATGTTGAACCATGGCTTGCTTAAAATATATTTTTAAGGCATAACAGCAGGAAGTTATCTGTGCTGGGGCTGGCAGCGTGGTATTCAGGGACCAAACTAAGGGAATGTTACATAGATTCCTCGTGGTCTCCCCCTGAAGTCCCAAAGGCAGCTTCTGAGAAGCCCAAACTCCTTCACTCCCCTCCCACTGATGCAAGAGCCCGTGGAGACCTGTTAGTTCCATGACCGAGGAGGAGCCCCCACCGCCCACCTCCCGCAGTCAGCACCTCACAGAGAACTTCTGGTTCACAGTCCCACACTGGCTGGCAGCAATGAATGTCCTCTTGAAGCACCGGTTTCTTTTCCTTTGTCCTCATTTCCTTCTGTTCCTCCCTCTGACTCTGAGAGGTCTTTCTCTACTGTCACAACCTTTCGTAGCGACGCAAGCCCCATGTCTCTATAGCTTGTTTGCGAGGCAGATTACACATGACCTGGAGACTCGAAAATGTGGGTGTTCACGAAACCTCTGGCAGCGCTGGGGCCTGAGGCGGCATTCTCCTCCTGCTTTTAGCACCCCGGATGCTGATCGAATGACAGCAGGGACAACCCCCATGACCGAGCAGTGTGAATCAGGGAATGCTTTCTCGGCCTTGGCCCAAAGTTGCCAGTCAGAAACCAACACCAATGGCTCCAGAGCCAAGGGACTAGCTCAGAAAGCTCTCTACACCTTTTATGGACAAATTTAGTGAGGGAACAGACAGATCACTGTACCTGGCACAATGGCTTTCATAAAAAGAAAGACATGCCGGCCAGGGACAACAGTGGCATTTCTCTTGTCCTCCTCCCCCGCTGCCACAGCCCAGTCCCCTGTTCCTTGCCCCTCACGGCTGAGACAAAGCAAAGGCAAGGGAGCGAACACAAGGCTCCCAGAATCGGTAGGTGACTTCCCTGCTAACCCTGAAGGGACTCCTGGGGCTCCACCTTAGGAACTGGGCAACCTTTCCTCAAGTTTCATCATCCCACCCACACCAGTCGCCACGAACGAACGGGAACCAGTACCTTGGTGAGGGACACAGGACGCCCCAGCTCATCTGCCTCTCACTAACGCGGGTCTTGAGTCTCTCTGCTTTGTTTCTTTAGTATCGTCTGGTGAAAACCACACAAACCGATACCTGTTTTCTTAACAGACGTTCTAGAGTTCTGCTGCATTGACTTTCATCCCACTCCAAGTTCGGACCTTAAACTCTTCCCACCTGCAATGAGCCCTCTGAGGGCCTCTCCTGGCCGGCCCCTGGGGGCACAGGTTCTGCAGCAACCCTCTGTCCCTGTGCCCCCACGGACCACAGGCCGCTGTGAGGAAGGTCCATTCAGCACTTCTGTGTGTACTGTACAAATGATTGTAATGACGACGTTCACTGTAAACATGAGAAATTATAAATAAAAAGTTGTTCACATGAGTCTGGGTTTTCTGGAGGTGAGGTTAAAGCACTACTATTGGCAAAGCACTTTGAAGTTTCCTATCTATGGTGACAAGTAACCAATCAGAATGAGTAATCATGTCATTTGCATCCAGGTCGTAGAACCTGGCTCCAAAGGAAAACACAGCGAGGTACTAGTCACTGTACTGAGCACGGAGGCCTGCAGCTGTGCTGCCCCACGGTCGCACAGAGCATACTCAGGGGAGCTGGGAAGTCCAGGGTGGTTAGGGAAAGAGCCTGGGGAAAAAGTCAGATTTCAACAGATGCGTGGAAAAGACGGAGACATTCTTAACCACGGTGCCATGAGTATAGGAACCGCGTCTTAGGTCTCTTTACTGGGTTTTGTACCTGGCAGGCTGGTAGCCTTCCTTGGTTGCCTGACTGTTACCTTATTTTGTATCCTTTTTGCAAAATATGCTATCACCCTGCATATGATCTTTTTTGTCTAATTCCAGATTTCACATTCTGGTTTGCTAAAGGAGGCAGTCCTCAGAAGGTTACAAATAGGCCTGTCAACGTTTGTTTGAGTTATCTAGAGAAGCTTCCAGCTTTCACTTCAGTGGCCCTAGGACTGAGACAGGGGCAAAAGACATCATCTCCCTTCTCTCTCCACAGGCTTTCACCCCATTCCCTGAACTCAAGATTCACCTGCAGGGGTTCTCAGGAAGGGTGGTGGCCAGGGCCAAGGGCTGGCGGAGGAGTCTCCAGTCCTCCTTCAGTTTGGCCATTACCTCCTCACTGAAATCCAGCTAGGAGGACAAGCTAGAGCTCACAGTCCAGCAGAAGTACTATAAAATATAATGCAAAACATGTGACATTTCAAAGTTCTACAGCCCCACCAAAGTAAAAGAAACCAGTGACATTAATTTTAATATATTTTATATAACCCAATAGATCCCAAATACTGTAATTTCAATACATAATGAATATTTTAATATGATATTTTCATTCATTTTTTTCATAGTAAGTTTGAAATCTGGTGTGTATTTTACACTTCTAGCTCATCTCAATTCAGTTGCTAAATTTTCATTGAAAGTATTTGATCTATATTTAGACTTTATAAAATTTATACTCGAAAAAGCAGATTCACATACTTGCTTCCAAGACACTTATTCCAAGTAATTGAATCAATCAGCTTTTAAATTTAAATGTATTAAAATGAAATAAATTGAGTTTCTCAGTTTCACAAACCACCCTCCAAGTGCTCAGTAGCCACATGTGCCAGGACCAGCACAGCCACTGTGTAGGTATGAAAAACTGTCCTTTTCCTTTGGCATACCCTATGAGCTGGTTAAACCTAGAGGACTTTCACACAAAAACAAACCCTGGCAGAAAGCTCTGGGGAGGGTGTGGGGTAGGGGATGGAGAATGGGAGGTAGAGGACAGGGGTATCAAGGAAGGCAGATATGGAGGGTGGTAGAAAACAGGGATAATGGAAAATCAGGCAAGGCTGGCTGGTGTGGCTCAGTGGATTGAGAGCCAGCCTGTGAATCTAAAGGTCACTGGTTCGACTCCCAGTCAGGGCACATGCCTGGCTGGGGGTGCATAGAGGCAACCACACACTGATGTTTCTCTCCCTCCCTTCCCATTTCTCTAAAAAACAGCATTTAAAAAAAAATCAGGCAAGTGACTCAAGCTTGGGGCATCCCAGGACCTTGTTAGGACCTCAGGCTGTGGACACAAGGGCAAAGGGTTAACTGCAGGGTCTAGGCAGGGAGGCATGGGCGGGGTTACCTGAGGTAGGTCCCTGGCCAAGTGCTAGCTGCAACCCCACCCGACCCCCATCTCTTCAGAGCTCTAAACTTCCTGCACTTGACCACCTGGTATCTTCACTCTTCTGGAGCCAGGCAGCCCCAAAGGGGCGAGCACCTGAAACCTCAATCTCTTGAATTGTTAGCTGTGCCCCTATTAGAATAAGCTGTCTTCCTGTCTTCCTTCCTTCCTTCCTTCCTTCCTTCCTTCCTTCCTTCCTTCCTTCCTTCCTTTGAGGTGTGGGAAAAAGTCTTGAGACCCAGTTACAAGAGGAACTAGACCTCTGGGGCCAACTGTGGGGAAGAGGAGGTGTCACCTGTGCAGTGGGCACCATTCGGGCCTCATCATCCATGTCCACACTGGAAATGGCCTGACACGGATGCATGGCCAGGGATGCATGGCCAGGGAGTGGAGGCAAGGTGTGACACTGCCACAGAGGAGGAAGCCCGGGCCTCACCCATGCCCTCTCATTACAGAATGACTGTGAGGAGATAAGGGCTCGTGGTGGTACGGAATTATTCACCACAGAAACTTACTGTAACCAGGCTATCGTAATGACTGCAGGTCAACCAGGGAGTCAGTATTGCCTCCTATTTACATACCCTTGACCGTTTCAATGCACCTGCACTCCAACAATCCTGGGAAAGAGGGAACACTGCCCTTATGTTGTAAGTGGGAAACTAGCCAAGGGCTCTGGCTCTGGGCTAAGTCAAGGTCACACAGCTCCTACAGTGCCAGGATCTTCAGTGACAATGTGGGATCCACCTTCCACAGCTCCAGTGACATGGAAACATGTTCTTACAACAGAATTTACTATATTTATCTCAATCACGCTGTAACCTCATAAAACCCCTCAGGTTAAAGGCACCAAAGTCATCTGTGCCAATGATTTCTGGAAATCAACAACAACCCCCTGCCTCCAATCTGACTGGCAACACTAAACCCTGGCCTCTGTTCAGGAAAGTGTGACCAAAGAGGGACAACTGCAAGTAAGCAAAGGAGTCAGCTCAGCTCCTGGGATGTTACTCTCGCCTCCTAATTTGGCAGAACAATTTCCCAAGGGCATGTTCAAACTCTTTTCCTAAGGCTGAACTGGAGAGAAGGAATAAACACACCCACACGCAATTCCATCCGTATAAAATTCTAAAATACGCCAACTAAACTACAGTGACAGAAAGCAGATCAGTGGTTGCCAGGGATGAGGTCGGGGAGGGTGGGGGATGAAGGGACTGCAAAGGGGTACCAGAAATTGTTGAAGTGATGGATGTGCTCATTATCTTGATTGTGGTGATGTTTTCTCCACATATGTCAAAACTGTTCAAATTTTACACTTCAAATATGTGCCATTTATCTTACATCAATGATACCTCAATGAAGCTGCCCTAAAAAGGAGGTACACAGTGACACCTCCCCCACACAGCCAAATGATGCCCTGCCCTACGCCGGCACTTCCTTGCAGAGCTTGTCCTCCTGATGCACGCAGGAGGAGAAGCCTGTGGGGGTGAGCCCAGGGGGACACCAGCTTTATCCACCTGACTGGATATGGCCTCTCTGTACGCTAAGTCAAAGTCATTATTTCTGCCTGAGTTCACTCATTTCAAATATTAACTTTTAATTACCTGCAATGAAGACAACAAACATAGGGCCTATGGGTTCAAGGGCAGACTGAGACTCCTACAGCAGCTCCGTGCCAGTGATGACAGAGTCAACTGGCTTCTGCGGAAGGAGCAGAGACTCCCCTGGTGAGGCAGGTAACATAACCAGTCAGTCCATCGGCTGAAACTAGTGTCCCAAGCTACCTAGACAACCAACAGCAGCTCTCATGCATCTTAGTTTCTCTCCTTCCCAACTATCCAACACATAACCATCTGAAAATCTCTCCTGAATATGGTACATCCTCTCTGTGGAGAACACACATGGCCAGGAACTTACTCCCTGCCACTAGACACTGGGTGAATTGGGCAAAAATCTCCTATGATACTGTGATATACTAAGAAATACATATTTGGCCCCCAGTTTCTGGCACAGAGTTCCTAAATATTGTTCATAGTAAGCCCCTCTACCACACCTAAGTTTATGCAAAAGAGGTGGTGCTGGAGAATGGGGGACTGCTTGCCACAGGAACGAATCATATGATTAGTGGGTTGGTAGTTTCGGCCTCACTCCCTGACCTTCAGGGAGGGAAGAGGAGCTGGGAGTTTAGTTTAATCACCAGTGGCCAATGATTTAGTCAATCAGGCCTACATAATGGAACCTCAGTGAAAACCTTACACTACAGCTTCAGAACGCTTCCAACATGTGAAGGTGCTGAGCCTGGAGAGGGCACAGAAGCTCTGGCCCCCTCCCCAAACCTTGACTTATGTACCTCTTTATCTGGCTGTTCATCTGTATCCTTTGTAACATCCTTTATAATAAACTGGTAAATACAAGTAAATGTGAGCTGTTCTAGCAAATTATCAGACCTAAAGAGGGATCATGGGAACCCACAATTTAAAGCCAGTTAGTCAGAAGCACAAGTGATAACCTTGGACCTGCAATCGGTGTCTGAAGTGGAGGCACTCTTGTGGAATAAAGCCCCTAATTTGTGAGGTCTGCACTAACTTTGGACAGTTAGTGTCAGAACTCACTGAGTTACACTGCAGAACGTCCACAGCTGGTGTCTACAAGAACTGGAGAATTGCTCGGTGTGGAAAAACCCACACATTTGGTGTCAGAAGTATTATGAATAACCCTTTTTTCTCATACCTCCTTATTCAAAAGCAAAGATTTAAGGAACGTCTGTTTGCTAGGCACAGGTTAACTGATGGGGGTGCAACCATGATTTAGATAGAGTTCTAATATTCAAGGATAATTAGTATCACAGTCTCACTTGGGAAGACAGGCGAAACCACTAATTGTAACATACAGAAGAGAAGTATGAGGAGAATACTAGGTGTCCATCAATAGAAAAATGGCTAAACAAACTGTATAGCCATAAGATAGAACCCTACTCAGCAAAAAGTTGCAAAGTATGGCTATATGCAAATACATGGATGACTCGCAGAAAATTATGTTGGGTGACAGAAGTCAGACAGAAAAGAGTACATTTTGTGTTATTCCATTTATATGAAATTCAAAACAAGTGACAGTAATCTATGGTGACAGAAGTTGGAACCAGCAGTCCTCTGTGGAAGGCAGAGAACCACCTGGGAAAAAGGAAATGTTCTATTTCTTGATGGGGGTGGTAG